CCTGGAACTCGGCGAGTTGTATGAACAACTCGGCGAGTAGGTTGAAGATAGTCGTAGACTCGGCGAGTCTGTTCTTGGACTCGACGAGTCTTGTCGAAGAGTCCCAAATATTTCCTGGTTGAGTCGAGAATCGGCGAGTCAAGGGATGACTCGGTGAGTTGTGTGTGAGTGGACTCAGAGTTGTGGGACTCGGCGAGTCTCGGGGTGACTCGGCGAGTTGAGTCGCAGATTAGGGAAGTTCTGAGCACGGGGACTCAACGAGTCGACGGGTTGACTCAGCGAGCAGGGTCAACCAGGAGGGTTGACTTTGACGGAGGACTTTGACTAGAACCAAGAGTTGACCGTTGACTTTTAGGGCTTGGTCAGCGATGTGGCCTTTGGGCCAAGAGAGGGGTAAAATAGTCCTTTACCCTTAAGAGGGTGCCATGATAGGGTTGATTCTAGTCTCGAGTGTTATATTCATGAGAGTATTTGCCTTACGTGTTAGGCGGTGGCGGGTTCGAGATTCAAGTGTGGGGATATCTGCTTTCTGTTTGCCAGGTGAGTCTTCTCACTATACTTTACCTTGAGTAGGTAACCAGAGTTATGTGACCAGAGTATTTGTATGCTATATGTACGTGATGTGTTGTACTGCATTATTTCTATGTGATTTATGTTGTGCATGTTTATAGAGTTGGAACCGGAAGGTTCCCAGAGTTAGAACCTGAGGGTTCACAGAGTTTGGGTGCACGGACCCATAGAGTTATAGCCTCGAGTGGCTAATATGTGTTATGTGTGGTATTTTGGGGAACTCACTAAGCTTCGTGCTTACAGTGTTTTGTGTTATGTTTCAGGTTTCTTTCAGGATCACGGGACGGCACCGGCTTGATTATACACACCAGAGAAAGAGTCATATTTTGGAGGATCCTGGTTTTCTATGCAAGTGAAAATGGAGTTATGTTTTGTAAATCGACTATGAATGAGATTTTAAACAAGTGTTTCTAAGAATAAAATTATTATTTTAAATGAAAATTTTGTCTTGAAATTTACAGTGTTACACTTATTTAAAAATGAAATTTTTGGTCATGAATTTTAGGATGTTACAGATGTCAAGTTGTTTGAGACACCAACCCTTGGAGAGAGCAATGGAGAGAACCAAACGGATCGTGGTTGGTTTGATAATCGGGCTAAATGTCGCAAAATAGTCAACACATTCCTCTTAACTATTGCCTTGAGCCCTTAACTGGACTTTGTATCTTTTAAAAAATATTAGGCAACTTTATATGAGGAAGAACAGATGAACATGTATGAGAAATAAAAATCTTGGAGCCATTACCAACTTGAAGCTTATCCGTACCTTGGGGAGTAAACTCTTAAAATGATGCCTAGTCCTTTCCCATGATATGTAACTACCTTAGGCTTGTATATTAGTGTGTATAAGACTAGAAATCGTCCATGAAACACCAAGAGTAAGGTTTTCACGGCCCAAGAAGTTCTTGGACCGTGAACTCCAAACTCAAGGGCAAAAAGGTACCTTAACCACTCCTAAGGCCTTGGATATAAGCATAGATAAGTTCCTAGTTAATTTAGGGACTTGGAAACACCAAAAACTCATCCCCATAAGAGATTACGGCCGTAATCTCTAAGGGAAATGGTCCCAGGGCCGTGAACTCCTCAAAGGAGTGTATTAATGCCCTAAACTCTTCCAAGGATTAAACCACTAAGTAGAATTGCTTCTAGGGATCATGTAACACTTCAAAACACAATATGGCATTAAGCTTAGGAGCTTACAGCCGTAAACTCAAGAGTTTACGACCGTAAACTCCTTGTGTAAGGTTTATTGGAGAGTAAACTCATATATGGGGTCCTTTGGAACCCTAAACCCATTAGCCTTGTCCCACAACAACTTAGATACAATCCTTAGGGCTTATAACACTTATATAAAGTGTTTATTATGTTGTAGGATGTCTTAACATTTACAATTAGTAGTTTAAGACTAATTGGGTGCATATATGTGTGATTATATGTTCATTAGGATTATAGTGTGTGTACAAGTCCTCACTTGACACCTAACAATCCTACACCGTTCAGTTCATCCAAACCACCATCTTCAGGTGAGTTCATACCCCTTAATCAATGTTTTAAATGATTTTAAATGCTTTAATGGGGGGGGGGGGGAATATAGGTAGAAAACAACATGTTATTAAATCAATCATATGTATTTATAACTGTGTTTTCATTCAGCAGATTTCAAATACTACAAAATGTGATGCATGAAATGGTTTTATATCTTAAAAATACATTGATAGAAAAAGTATTACGTTTGAAATGTTTATTAAAATGACATCAAGTCATTGTCAATTATTATTCAAAACTCTTAGATGTCTTATAAAACCATTTTTACCTTCTTGAACAAAACTATATATATACACTTATGTTCTTTTATATGTATTGATGTTATAGTTTTCATCCTTCATTCAGTTTCCACGCTCTTGTGTAGCTAGGGTTTATAAGCCTGTTTGGACAATCATTTACCTTCCAGTTAACTATTATAGGGATAGTTAGGAGATACATAACATTATTCCTATTACAAGGAATTACATCAGAGTCAATTCATTCATGAGTCTACACTAAACATTACATGAGTACCTTACATGATTACATTACATGAGTACCTTACATGAATACATTACATGAGTACCTTACATGAATACATTACATGAGTACCTTTACGTAGATACATCTTCCTATATACATTTACATGGATACTTGTACCTCGATTCACTAGGATGATTTATTAGTACCTACTGTGTAAATTGTCCTGCCTATCCCAGTTCAACGGGATATCTAGACGGGACTAACCATTCCGAATCCCAGTTGTTAGCACCAGTGGTTGATGAACATCTACAGATGCCTACGGTTATTACTTATATTAGGGGTGCCTTTACGGGACTAACCATTCCTTGGGCCTACTGTTCGCTACAGAGGTTGATGAACATCTACGGATGCCTACGGTTAATACTATGGGTCTTTACGGGAAAATTGAATAATCTACAGATGTTCAAAGGTTATACATTTCGCTTTTCGCGATGTCGTGTTAATCCTAATACAAAAGGATAACAATTACATTAGTACATTTTCCTATTACTTTATTTTTGTGATACATTCACATAAACGATGAGTTAGACTAAGTACTTTTAGTAATAGTCAAAAGAAAGGAAATACTATAATTTTCACTTACAAAACATTTGGGTCTTGGTAGAAGACTACATTTCATACTAGTATGAAATAAGGGATTTTCTAGGGTTTTCATACTTATATCAACTGTTTCATTCAAAGATTTACATAGCATACATAACAGCTTTCCAAAACAAGACAATGACATTTAAATACTTATGAATTCACCAGCTTTAGGCTGATACTCGCTTTCAAAATAACTTGTATTCTCAGGTCACCAGTAGACAGGTACGATAGCCAAGTTTTGAGAAGACGGAGCACAGACAAGACTCGTCTTTTATTTTGATTGTATATTTTTGTGTCTTATTACAATGAAAGAACACATATGTATTAAAACTTTACTTTTAATGCAATGGATGATGTTGTTGTTTGTTTACTACTTTACACTGTTGTGATACTGTACATGACGTCCTCCACCCCGGAACGTTTCGGTCGTTCTTGGTTTTGGGGTGTGACAGTTGATTTGTCATTTTGGAGGTGGACGACGAGAGGGATAGGCAGTCTGATTTGATCGGTACCAACAGTCAATAGCTTCATGATCGGGTTTGTTACATGGTTGGCAATGGAGTTGGTGTAGGCGAGAATCATGGTTCGATTTTGTAGAGGGTAGTTGAAGCCTGACTTGGATGAGGAGGAAGTGGAGCGATAAGGGTGGCAGTTGGTAGTCAAGGAAGTACATCCAGCTGTAATTGTATCTGAGACAACAGTGGTGGTAGATGAACGAGCATGTTCCTAGTCCAGACGAGCTTACTCTTGAAGAAGGCTAATGAGGTCATCAATGGTAACATTATTTGTCTTAATCATAAAAGTTGTTGTGAATATGTCATAAGAAGAATCTAGACCAGATAGAATATGAGAGATCTTCTTCAGAAATCGGGTTAAGGTCTTCGGCTAAAGAATCGTAGATGGTTCTTTTTTTCGCTATGTATTCCATCAGTATGAGAGAGCCTTTGGAGAGAGACTACAATTGGGTTTTCATCGCCATACGACTTGCTCAAGTTTGTGATTGAAAAGTCTTCTCGATAGCTATCCAAGCCATTTATGAAGAAGAAGAAGTACAAGCCACAAGGGCCAAGGCTCTCTCAGAGAGAGTAGACTAGAGCCTAAACAGGACCAATCGATCACGTTTCTTCCATGTGGTATAATCTGGGTTGGGCTTGGTTGTTGCAACTTGGTTTTCAGTAGTAGGAACAACACAAACTTCTGAGGAGATGGGTTTAAAATGTGAGCTTCAAGCTCAAAAGTTTGGCAGAAATAATTATTGTTACCCACAACGGATAGTTATCTCTATCAAGTTTTAAAATAATTATTGTTATCCATAACGGATAGTTATCTCTATCAAGTTTTATACTGAAAGATGGTATTTGGAGTTTTAAAACGGAGTTGAAATTTGTAACAGAAAGTATAGAAAAAAAATAAATAAATAAAAATAAAAACTTTCTCAATATGTGGAGCACGTTATGGTCTATATAAATGAAAGAGTATTGATTGATTCCATTCAAAGATTTTATGGTCTATATAAATGAAAGAGTATTGATTGATTCCATTCAAAGATTTAAAACTAGTGGTCCTTATTTTAGGCTTATTACCCAAAAATAAATAATATTATTGTTGTTGTGTATGTGTGTTGTATGTGTATGTCTAATGTGATTTGTCAAAAATAAATAATATTATTGTTGTTATGTATGTGTGTTGTATGTGTATGTCTAATGTGATTTGTGTATGTGTAGTATGTGTTAATTTTACCAATTTGAATTTGATTGTATGAGAAATAGATAAAAAGTAGACTAGTGTGCTTAATATTAGAATATTATGATATACACACATACACATACATATATATATATATGCTGTTTAATCATCTGCGACTATCTTTTCGGAACCTATCTATGCCTATAACCATCTCCCATCATATGTTGAAAATTTCGACCATGACTCCCTCTTTCAGAGGACTCCACCGTCTAGTTTCCTCCCTCCACCATATCTGTACACTGTCACGTTGTCATCTCAGATAGTGCATTGCTGATGGTTGTAATCTAATGTATAGAACTTTCACTGAATTTCTAACGTATGGAACGTTTTTTCTTATTATTATATGAAATTACTTATGGTTCTTTAGAAAGTAGAGATGGCAATATCAGAAACAAGTCATTTGTCCAAGAACAAGAGTTAGGAATGACAAACATAATAGAAGGGTCTCACATAAAGAGACCTTTATTATACAAGAAAAGATTGGCAAACATGTTAAGGTATTTTTAGCTAAAAGAAAAAATAATCTGTTCTTAAAACATTATAATGGATGCTCTAATGCAGATCATAAACAATTTACATATTCTTATTTACATTGCGAGTTGAAATTCTTAAATATCAAAGGGATGTCAATGTTATATGATTATTGCATTCACTCCTACCTTTTGTAGGCTACATATTTAAAGCATTATACCCAAACCAAACACAAAGAGATTCAATTCCAACACATATCTAAGGGGTTCTATGTCACCAGATATTACACAGCACTACAATAATAGCAGCGAGAAAAAGTAAAGTAGTAATAGTCCCCAATGTAAACAAGCATACATCCAATAACAATAAACCTGTCTAAATAACAAACATACTTACTTAAACTAACGAGATAAGCACCACGAAAGGACATAAAAACAAACTCTGACGAAAGGAAGGAGTAGGTGTACCACAAGAGAGATGAGAGATATCGATGCTAGAACATGTTGATGTTGAATGATGCTGTTATTGGCTGAATTGGGCAAGGAAGCTTCCATGGTTCCAACAAGGTATCAGGAATCTCAGGGATCTCCATAGCCAGACCACTAACCTCTTGAGCAATATGCAGAACAGAGTTCAAGGAGTGCAATCTGTCCGTCAGTTCACTAAGCTGGGCTCTCAGAACGTTATTCTGAGATGCAACTCCAACAAACACCTGTGTTGCTCCATCAATCTTCCGCATTATTTTGTTGTTATCATTCTGCAATTGGTTGATTTCACCAAGCAATTCATCCAAGCGTTGTTGCTTCTTTGCACGAGATCTGCGAGCAGATTCCCTGTTTGATATCATCCTCTTTCTTTTTCTGTCATCAAGGTTTGCATACCGGAGATCTCCATCAGACCCCGTATTGGCAGGTTGCGGTGATGCCATCGACAATCTCAGGGGAAATTTGTACAATCGGTGGTGGTTTTAGGTTTCAAAATTGATTCGGTTACAATAAATAATTAAAGGAATTGAATAAGTAATCAGAACAAGAAGGGGAAATTCATGAAAGCTCGTGAAACCAGTAGAGAAAAACAACGGAAAAAGAATGGAGAATTCGGATCCGGTGCATCAATATAGCATACGTCATGAATAAGTAGGACTCATCTAACCAATCGATTCCTGTTCAAACCTCAGATAAACCCTATATGTAATCGAAGAAGCAGAGCGAATTCAGATGATTTTCTAATCAGAACAACAAGGAGCCGGCTAAAAAAATCTGCAAGGATCCAGAAACACAAAGACAGCAGAATCAGATCGATGAAAAGGAAATTAAAACAAAGTAAACAGGGCAAAATCAAATCAAAATGAATATAAGAAGATAACGATGAAAACGAGAGAGAAAAACATACCTGGGGAAGAAACGACGGTAGGTGGGCGAGCCAAAAGATGGGCCAAAGAAGGTTTGCAAAGCATTTGGATCGTGGTTTTATAGGGATAAAATCTCAGGTTCCGAGAAATTTCTGTATTATTTTAATTGCAAAGCCAGATTTGCACTCCATCTTTTCTATAATTAAAACCTTCCGGATTTAATAATTTCAAAAACAACCCCTACATTATTAACGCTATTTTATTCACTTATAGTTATATAGATAAGTTAGGTGTACATTATATTATTACTTTAATTTGAATAATCAAGTAAAGTGACAAACAAAAAAAATAAACTATTTTCTTTAATTTTGTATGATGTTATCTTTTGTAATTTTGAAGTTGTTTCCTAGTTAACTTGAAATAATAAATGCAACTCGTTTTATACTTTTGATTTATGATACATTTAATTGAGAAATTAAACATTTTTGAAAAACATAAAATTTGTACTTTTTTTTTAATGTCTAGGTAGGTTTTGACAGGTTAAATGTGTCTTTAATTTATTGATCAATAAATGTATTACCTTTCTTATGTCATAAGAATTTTATCTTTTTTGTTGTAAACATCTTATTATAATAAAATAAAAATTAAAAAATATATATATAATAATGAATGACAGTTGTTCAAAACTTCAAATGGTCAATCTATAGCTTATCTAAGTTGGCTACTTGTTTAATGCTTGTATGATTTTAGTTTACATATTATCTGTCTTTGGTTGTTTTATATCTATACTAAAAGTTATTTAATTTTAAATTATAATTTATTATTATTAAAAAAATTTATCAAAATTTATATTTTTTCTATATATAAGACGAATTGTTGATATATTTTAAAGATTTTACGGTTTATTATTTTGTTGTTTATTTTACTATGTGTTTAAAAGTATTTTAAAAGCATTTGTTAAGTTTGTTTTGAAATAAAATATTGTTTAATAGTGGTACATACAGTGAACATAGATCTCCAATTTTGCAGCAATTTTTGGTGTGATAGTTTTTTGCTTTATTTTGATGTCTGTTGTGTAATTTGAAGGAGTGATATTGAAACTATTCAAAGTGAAAAGATTTTATTAAGCACTATTATAAACATGAAGGAGCAAAATGCAAACTATTGTAAATTAGGAAGGTAGGAGTGGCATCGGTGTAAAAGAGTAATGGGTGGCTGCCAGCAAACCCACGCAACGTTGATTGGCCATCCGAATTTGACCGTTCATTTTCTATATAGATATCTTTTATGCCGGACCGGTTTTAAAAAGTGCAGGGCAGTCAAAAAAAAGTGAAACCAAATCAATTTAATATTGACAAAATATATTAAGATTTTGAACTTTTTTTTTTCTGAGCGACGTTGTATGATAATAAAAGGAAGAAAAAATTTTATAATTGGTCCTTATGTTTATAAATTATCATATTTTGAAGGGTTTTTTGAAAAAGTTACGTCATTGGTAGTTTGTAAGATTTCATGAATTGTCTTTTTTATGTTAAAACTAACTTTCTAGCTCTTAGATTTTTATAAAATAACTATTTGACAAAATTACACAGATGGTCCCTGTGGTTGGCACGAGAGACCAAAGATAGTCCTTATGAGGAATTTTGGACGAGTATGGTCCCTGTGGTTCCAAATTGTTGCACGAATAGTCCTTATGACATACTCCGTTTAATTGTTGCCGTTTATCTTAATCACGTGGCCCTCACACGAGGGTATTTTCATCTTTTGCTTTGTTACACGAAATGATCATATTCATAAATGATCCTTACATCTAGCTGCCATTTACGTTACCCCAAGAAATCGTCCCTTTCTTTTCTCCCCTGGTTTATCATCTTCATCACTTCAAAACATCAAACGGAAACTAGGGTTTTCATCTTCATCTTTTGCGATGGTTCTAACTTTGTGAATGTTCGTTCAAAATTCTCAGAAATCCTGACCTGATCAAAGCTTATGGTGAGTGATCAGTTAACAACTTCCAATTTTGTTAACTAATTTATGCACATTCAATTTTGAGACTTCATTCTTTCCTCACATCATTATTTATTTGTTTTTCAGTTGAGTTAAGTAGTTTTTGCACATTCAAGATTCACCATGGGGGTATGTTCACAAAATACCCAGGAAGACGTTACGTTGGTGGGAGTATTGACTATGTTGACTACGTAGACATGGACGTGTTCTCCGTACATGAGTTAGACAATATGATAAAGGAGATAGGTTATATCAACGGTGAGCCTATCTACTACCACTTCTTGATTCCACAGATTGAAATCGATTATGGGTTACTTCCTTTAGGTAACGACTCAGACGTACTTTTGTTAAGTAAGTATGTCGCTAATCATAAAGAGATTATGTTGTATACTGAACATGGAACTACTAGACTCCATACATACTTTATGTCTCCAAATAAGGTCGTATTAGAAGAAATCAATGAGCCTATTTCTCCGGAACTCAATTGAAAAAAGTTTACAAGTACAGAGGTAGGATCATATAGTAGAAAATTGGACTTGAATGAGAACTATGACTTTTCTAGGTCTGTTGTACCTTTTGGACATTTTGATAGAGATGTATTGAAAGATGTTGGAGTTCAGCTTGCAAGTAAGGAGCTTAACAAAGCCCAAGATGTTGGCCCTTCAGAAGACTTTGATCCTTTCTTTTATATGGATCATAATGATTACCAACAGATGGGGGACGATGATTACCAACAGATGGGGGACAATGAAGAAATTGGAGATGTTGTTAGTGATGAGACTAGTACCAATGGAAGTATAAGCGACGATAGTGAATTTTTAGTGGATGAACTTAATATGGTGGAGGATGTCGAAGTGAATATGAAAGACTTCCACAGTGGTGTTTATTCTTTTCCAAATCTAGATAACCACCAATCATTCAATGCACCTGATGTCACAGTTGATGAGGATTTGGAGGTGATAGATACACAGTTGTTTGAATCAACTGGTGTAGAATAAGATGAGAGGAAGAAGTTAATGAGAAGGTTAAACAAACCAACCACTTGTTCATCAGGAGTAGTACATGAAACTGCATTCCATTTGGGTCAAATATTTAAGACCTCATCAGAAGCGAAGGACTACATTAAAATGCATTCAATTCGAACTACGAGAAACATTTACTTTGCAAAAAATGATAAAAAAAGAATTAGGGAAAAATGTAGGGGTGTGGTCCCGGAAATGATAGGTGGGCCATGGACAAAAAGTAGAATCAAATGCAAGGACAAAACAGTCAGTTCACAAAAATTAACATGCCCTTGGGTGGTATTAATTTTTAGATCTGATGAAGAAAGCGATTGGATGGTGAAAACTTTGGTTCATGAGCATAGATGTGTGCAGTCAAGATTTATTAAAGCGTGTACTTCTAAGTTTCTTGCAACCACCATTCTTCAACAAGTGGAAGGAAACCCAACTATCCCAGTCAAAGCTTTGCGTGTAGAGTTACAAAAGATATACGAGGTGGGGATGTCAATAATGAAGGTCTTTAGGGCTAAACAACTTGCACAGAAACATGTTTATGGAGATTATGAAAAGCAATACAGCCTTCTCAGGGATTACGTACTAGAATTACAACAGTGCAACCCAGGAACAACTGTGAAGATTGATGTATACAGTAAACCAAATGCAGACTTGGAAACTAGGATGTTTAAGAGAATTTATGTATGTTTAGTTACATTAAAACTGGGTTTTAAGGCAGGTTTAAGAGATTTTTTAGGATTCGATGGGGCTTTCATGAAGGGACCTTACCCTGGACAGGTTCTCACTGTTGTGGGTCTTGATTCCAATAATGGGATCTACCCACTAGCATATGCCATAGTTGAATCCGAGAACAAAAGCTCATGGAGTTGGTTTCTAGAGTGTCTAGGTGAAGATTTGGAGCTCTCTACAAATTCAAACTTCACATTTATTTATGACAGGCAAAAGTTTAATCTTCTTATGATACTTGTTCATGACATCTGTGTAATTTTGTCTGCTACATTTAGAAAATAACATTTTTGTTACTTGTTAATTAGGGGATTTTACCTGCCATTGCCAACCTATTCCCTAGCGTTGAACACAGGTTCTGTTTAAGACATATTCACGAAAACATGAAGCTACAATGGAGGGGGAAGGAGCACCGAGATCATTTATGGGAATGTGCAACAACAACAACAGTTAGACACTTTGACAGATTTATGGAAGATTTTAACAAGTTCAATTCAAAGGCATGTGATTGGTTAAAGAAAATTCCACCCAAACATTGGGCCAGAGCACATATTTAAGGTATATTTACCCTTATATAATAGTTAGACACTTTGACAGATTCAAGGAAGATTTACACTTTGACAGATTCTTATAAGATATTTTGTTGCATTGTACAGGAAGAGCACATACATATATTTTGTTGAATAACTTATGTGAAGTTTTCAACTCAAAGTTGTTAGATGCTCGAGACAAACCTATAATTACATGTTTAGGATATATTAGGGAATACTTAATGAAATGAATTTGTATTTGTGCAAAAAGTGATAGATAAGTCTCACAGGCCACTTACCCCAACAGCCACAAAACTTTTAGATGGAGTTTAGAAAGATGCTTCTCAATACACTTGCATATTTAATGGTGCTGAGAAGACTCAAGTTACTGGGACAATGGGGGAACAATTTGTGGTTAATTGGAGGGATAGGAATTGTAGTTGCAGGCATTGGGAAATCACTGGGATACCATGCTCTCATCTTGTTAGTCCATTTGGGATAAGGTTGAGCATGGGGCAAAAAATGTCCCACCTCTAGAGGAGTGGGTACATCCATGTTATAGGTTAAGCACATGGAATGAAATGTACAAGTACAAAGTTCAACCAATCAATGGAAGAAGTATGTGGCCAAAGTCAGATTCCCCACAACACTAACACCCCCCAAGCATACTAAACAGGTAAATAATTTTTAGTTTACAAGTTAGTATATGTTTATATTGTTTTATAATTTATTAATTATGCAGGTGGGGAGACCAAAAAAGAAGAGAAAGAGAGCTCAAACTGAAGAACCAAATAATGAAGGTAAAAGTTTGACCAGGAAGTTCCTTACAGTTACTTGTAGCAAATGCAAGAACAAGGGTCACAACTCTAGGAGTTGCAAGGGACAAGGGGGACAAAATGAAGTTAGAAATGTGGTGGCAGGGGGTAGGAAGCTTAGCAAGGCAAAGAAGCAGGGAGATGGCAAAAAGGAGAAACCCAAAATGAAAGAGAAAACCAAACTTAAGGATAAATCCAAAATGAAGGAAAAAGTTTGATTTGTTGTCTTTTGTGTTGTTTGTTATGGTACCTTAGAAAGGTCTTTTGTGTTGTTTGTTTTGGTACCTTAGAAAGGTCAGACTAAGTTGGTTCTTGTATGTCTTTATCTTTTGTTGGTATTATGGTACATTAAGGTGCTAGACTAAGATGATTCTTTTGGTTATGATACATTAGTCTGCAAGCTCTTTTGATATTTTTTTGGTATTATGACTTTGCACTTTAAGGTTATGTAATGAACTTTATGACTATGCAAAAGTTTGCACTTTATTTTTGAACATTTCTAATGTTGTTATGGCTCTACAATGGTTTACACATTATACTACAATGGTCTAAACCCTACAAAAACCTTTCACTTTCATATTTTATACTACTTAATGGATCTGGATAGTTCATTAAGTTGCAGACCAATATTTTACACTCATTAAGTTCCAAACCAATATTTTTCAATGGTTGCAGACTAAAAGTTTCCCAAATAAAAAGCATTCCATGCATACATACGAACATTTCTTACATCACAAACAAACAAAACGAAATCATCTTCAAATTAATACTATTATCTAATTCTACCCACAAGCAAAAGAACCATCATCTATCTACCCACAAGCAAAAAAACCATCATCTCCAGACTAATACTATTAGCATCTTTTGTACACATACATGAAAAAGAAAACCCAACTAAAAACTAGCATCATCTTCACTTTTTTGCTTCAAAACTTGCTTGCAGCAGAGATTCTTGAAGCTTGTTCATGGATCTTAGCAAACCTGGAATGATAGCCACAGCCCTTCGACACATGGGCTCATCAAACCATGCAATGAAACCGCAACTGCTAGGACATTTCCAAAACCTACGCCCTGGGTTGAGATCCGTCCATGATGTCACTCTCACCGCTTGCCTTCCACAAAAACAATTTACCATTCTTAAGCAAAGTTTCTTAGAAAGACACAGAAGAGAGAAGAGAGAAGAGAGAAGAGAGAAGAAATAATAGAGGAGACGATAAATAATGAAGGAAGTGATGGGGGTTTAATTTTTATAGGGAAGGGAAATCTTTTGCAGATCATGAGAGATAAGGGACAAGCAAAAGACGAAAATACCCTCGTGTGAGGGTCACGTGATTTAGATAAACGACAACAATTAAACGGAGTATGTCATAAGGACTATTCGTGCAACAATTTGGAACCACAGGGACCATACTCGTCCAAAATTCCTCATAAGGACTATCTTTGGTCTCTCGTGCCAACCACAAGGACCATTTATGTAATTTTGTCTAACTATTTTATCATTGGACCAAACCTATAATATACAACAAACCTCAACATATATATATATATATATATATATATATATATATATTATACAATTTAATTAATATATTATTTTCATAATATATTAATAAATCATTTATTATAGTTTATTAATCAAATTAATAAATTCTTT